AACACACCGATAAAAGGAAGCCCAATGGTGTTAAATTACACGATCTAAGGTGACAACTCTTATCATCGAAACGAGAGAGTACACATCCAGCGAACGTCTCACACAGCAACTGACATGTTTCATTGGCTGTATGGCAGGGTACGGTATCGTGTTGAAACGTCACGTTATACACATCACCCAATTTAGGCAGATATAGGTCTATGGGTCATTTCTGATCACAGAAACGATCGAGTGCACAACCAGGTAGTGTCTCATGCAGTAATTGAATTGCTTCACGAGATCTATGGCAAATAGCTCCGTATTCTTGGAACCATTATCCACATCCAATTTAGGCAGAAAGAAGTGCCACATACACTCATGATTTGAAGAAGAAAATCCAATGTGACATCCAAAAAATCAGCCACATTAATGCAAAAGCGTGTTGCGGAATATCGATAAAAGAATGCATATGCGCATGCAAAGCTGTAGAGCAAATTTACCTGATGTGCTAATTCTTCATATTACACTACAATACAATAAAAAATAACTATCTTAACAAAAACTGGACCTTATATTCAATTCAAACTCTGCGTGAATTTTGATACACCTTTTACTATCTAAATATCAACAGACCCTAAAAATTTGGACTTTTATGTGCTCATTCATATTTTTCTTCTTAGTCGAGTCTCTAGATCTGGTAATTTTGGATATTCTGGCCAGTAAGTATATCCCCTGATAACAAATTACAGATAGGTCGAAACAGCAGGTAGATAAATGTGGAACTTTTGGTATATTTATCTGGTATTCTCAACTTCAAGCAAGTTACTCTAAAAAAATACTATCGAAGTTTTCCTGCATAAGCACTCAAAAAAATCAGCGTCTTTTTAGCTTTCTAAAAATATATAACAGTTAAAAGACAATTCAACGGAAATTTCAAGATTTTACAGATCTCAAGTATAATAGTGCGGCGGCTTCGAGCATATGAGCTGCTAATTTAGTACTCGTAGCAAAGGTATCCATATTCAAACAGTGGTAGATCATGCCATAAGCAACACTATACCATCCTGTTGATTTCAAAGGTCAATTGGCTTCAAAATATTTCAGTTTCAATTTTCATAATGTATCTGATAATCTTTTTTATATGCTTGAGCCACCACGCGAGGCCTAATACCTGTGGGGCTGATGAGTACTTTTCAACCAGGGTTCTGAGAACTGGTTTAATAATATGGATGAGCCTGTGCATGAATAATCCCCCCCCCCCTACTAGGCGGGCAGTGGTAAATGCTTGTTCCGGAAGTTGTACTCTATATACATATACAAGTGTTTATGAATACCTCCGTACCGATTGCGGCGGGTGGCCACTTTAGGTCTATTAACATCATTAACAAGAAAAAAGGTGGTAGACAAGGACCAGTCGACCGAGACCACCTAAGCTACGCAGTCGGTTTATCTTCCATTTCTTTTCACCACACAAAAATTAATGATCAAGAATCCCTCGAGTACTAAAAATTCCGGACGTAAAATCACTCTTTCTCGGAATTTCCGGGTGGACTCGTAGGAACAACATCGATGATAAAAACTGTTTCACGAACAATCTGCGGTATTAACAGCAACATTGATGCTGTTCACTACTATCTGCAGTCTAATCGTCCCATCATGCTTTTCTTAGCGGAGACCAACATTTCCGTTGCTGCATCGATTATCATATTAGCTTCCCAAATTACGAGGTGCACTCGAATCTGAGGAGGAACAGGGGAGTTGTGGCTCAAGTCCACAGCAGTCTTTCCTGCTCCAGAGACGTTTATCCGGAATCAGGCCGGAAGATTCTGTGGATTCGCCTCAACTCCAAAACATCCCCCCAAATGTATTTGCTGCCTTTAAAGCTCTTCCCTCTTCCTGGGACCACAACTGGATGACCTACTTGAATTTCTCGCTGTCGATATCGACTTCTGAGCATTAATCGGTCTGCTTCAGAGGTATTACGGACATGCCGACTGTTAAGGGCTGAGATACTTTTTCTCCACGTTTCTTTGGAGAGATGTTTGTTTCACTGACCGGGTTTGCGGCACCAATAACAGAAATTATCTCCCGTAGTAGCATGTGTATACATACGTTACTAGAAATAAGCATGCTTTTTCTGAGCATGCTTAAAATCGACCGTCGTGCGCTAAGGATGAATGCGATATGCAATGGGCATTGCATCGTCCGGAAGCATCAATGCCGTGGCCTGGAGCCGAATTTATATAATGTCATGTCATGACCCAACACAGAAAATGTTATAACTTCCTTAAATTTAAAGTAATCGGATAATCCACTTAGTTTTGTGAAAGATATTAGTTATTCTAACACATGCAAGCAGTAGATACAGTATTTTAGAGTATAAAAAACTTCCTGGTCAGCATGAGCGGTAAGGATGAACGCGATATGGAAGGGCCGCCACGATCTCAGGGCCAAGGCTCAGAGGCGTAATGAGACGTGACGAGCCACCTCGACGCTCGAGGACGGTCGGCTATAGCACCCACACCGAAAATGTCATAACATCGTTAAATTGCAAGTTATCGGAATAATACTTACTGATTTGTGAAAGATACCAGTTACACTATTATAAGCAATATTTTAGACTATAGGAAACGTCCTAATTGAAAAAAAAACCTACCGAAGAATAACTTACTTTTGAGATGGGCGGAGTAGAGGCAGCCGCGTGTGAGCTGTTGAGCAGCGCGTGCAATTTGGCGCGCTCCGTCTCAACGTCGATGGCAATATGTCGTTTCCGCTTCTTACTTGCCCCACCCGCCACGCTAATGGAAATTTCCGGTTCCCCGACGGAGGACATTGGCGTAGAGGTGTCACGCTCTCGCTTGGGAGGCTCGTTCGGCAGCTCATGGATGGGCACGTCGAACTCACTCCCGATGCCGGTCGCGTACGCTGAAAAACTCTTCGATGCCGGCCATTCTTTCGTCTCCACCGCATAGATGATGTGCTGCAGCCGCACCTGCAATCCAAACATCACACGTCAGATTACGCTTGTGCTAATGGATACAACCACTAAGCATTAGAACAAATAAATAAAATTACAAAAATCACATCGGTTCACCCCGATCGCGAAATTTGAATAAACGTCCGTTCGTGGAGACAAAGCGGTTGAATTTGAATCCATGTAGTGCAAAAACCGCAAATGTCATACTTAATTATTACAGCTCCATGACGTGTTTAAAATTCATAAGATGTTTTTTATTTCAGTCGATAGCCGACATAACCTTAAGGTAGAAACACAGAATTGAATTTTCTTGTTTTTTTCTTCCCAACAACGATGTAAAACATCATGACCTCTGCACTCAGGGAGAGTGTTTGGATTTTATTTCATGCTTTCACACAGTAGTAGTGGTGGGGAGGTGAAGCCTGGCAAGTAGGCCACCTTTGATCCTTTTTGCCGACCCAGCAGTACCAACACTGTACTACTCAACAAGCCATTTACTGGTAAGTAATTGATAGATCCAGCGATTAGATGCACCTGTTAATATTGCACCACTTGCGTGACTCAGACAACATTCATGGCAAGGAATTAACTTCCGAGGCGGAGATTCGAACCCGCGAGCTCCGGATTGCTAGCACAACGCGCTAACCACCGAACTACCGAGGCTTCCCATGTTGTCACACAAGTTAAATCGGTAGATCATACACTAGGCAGGTCAAGGCTCAAAAGGTATAGTGACAGGATGTCAAAGGTTCCTGCTCCTGTCATATGACAGCACACGAGGAGGCAATATTATGTGATGTGGCACTATGATGTTTATGAATATACAGGGTGACTTCGAAGTTGAGTCATTTATTTTAACAGTGAGTAGATCTGATCAAAAGAAATGTTTTTTTCCTTTACCATTTTTCTGGTAAAATTAAAGTAACAAGTTATAGCCCTGTGGAAGTTTGAGTACCGCCCTGTCTCAATAATAATATTATGTGCTCGTGTTTGGCGACAACGGATATAATTCGCCTTATCGGTTCATCGCATCGGAAACAAAAAAGCGAAAGAATTTGGAACGATGTTTTTACAATTATTTCAGTCAGTTGTATACAGTCAGTGTCAGTCGGTAGTGGATAGTGGTATCTGTTGCGTGGCTCAAACGAAATAAAAAATGGCACATGTTTATGCGGATCGGTTTCCCAATCGAGTGCAACCAATCCCTCGTGCCTTTGTTAATGTAGTACAACGGGTTCGTGAATCATTTGACTTAAGACCTCACATATGGACGGCATGCCGGTGCTCCAAGACCTCACGATCAAATAAGGTCCGCACTGAAATACTTGTCGGGAGGATACTTTATAAAACAAGGTAAATTTTTTTTTTATTTTTACACACATATTATGGTTTATCTTCCTTCTACAACCATTATCTGAAATTAATGACTCACTTCAAAGTCACCCTGTATAAACTATTATGCTTAAGTCGGATTTAACATGTTTCTCAAGCAACTCACTTTGCATGATAGTACCTGAGCTCACGTGACACAACGATGAATGCCTTCACATCTTAGGATGCGACACTATATACAGGATGATCGAAGTTATCGGATTTCGTTTCGATTTTTAGACAATAATATTAGAACAAGCAATGAAGGTGTAGCAAATGAAATAGATGGGTTTAGAAATATGAACAAAAAACTTGGACAAAATAAAGTGTACCTAAAATCAAACACCATTACACATCCTCAAACTTCAAAGAACAGAGATGAATATTACAGTGTGATTCATCAAAACGTTGGAATTGGAAAACTGTGCGGATAAAGTAAATGCTGTTCTACAAGCGAATCCTAACTGTAGTGTACTGTGAATTACTGAGCACTGGAAATCAAACGAACAAATAGAGCAAACTGGTATACAGGACTTTAAGTTGGCGGCTAGCTTCTGCAGGGAAGAAGGTCATCATGGTGCTGCAGTAGTGTATGCTTGACAGAATACAGTGTCCTAAGCAAGGAAAAAGTTATCAGTGATTGGTGTATTTGAGTTCGCAGTAATGGAATGTAAAATTGGTAACAGGTCAGTTGTATGTTGTGCTATATATAGACCTCCAAATGGTGACTAAAGTGGTGACCAAAGTAAATTTTTCTTGAAATTTCTAACACATCTTGACCAGATTAAATCACTTATAATAGCAGGTGATTTTAATGTTGAAATGGTTAATGAAAACAACCTTAAAAATGAACTCTACTCCCTATATGCTCTTTTTTCTTAAAACCCAAAGTAAATAGCTATACTATTGAATGTCAATCTGGTATAGATGATATTTTTACTTAGGAAATATATTCGTGTTATAATAAAAACTCATTCTGGCCAAAAAATCTTAATACCGTGTGAGCCCGCTGCAAATGCTATAACTTACAGAAGATTTTTTACAGAAAATGCAAAAGATCCATTTGTAGATGTGTTGAAACAAAAGGATTGGCAAGATGTCCTAGATGTTCCTAAGCAAGACGACAATAAACAGTGGAAATTATTTATAACGAAATTCATCAATATTTTCAACATGTGCTTCCCTAAAAAATTCACATACACAGACCAACTACGTAAAAAACAAAACAGGATAAGATTGCAAAAACAGGTTAGACAAGTTACTGATTTTATACAGACACAAAAAGCATTTAAAAAAAGACTATGACAACACTAAAAAGGAATTTGATAATATATTAATTGAACAAAGGAAAAAAGATATGGAAATAAAAATTACAAATCAGACAACAAATCAAAAGCTATGTGGGCTTTACGTAATGAAATCAGAGGCAATGTTAAAAGTATTGATGAATGCAAAATTCCTGAACACCCTTATACTAAATATACTAAATACTAAATACTAAAACGCTTAGCCTTCAATCAATTGAAGCTGATGATCTTGTGATAATATCAAACAAACTAAAAAATAAGTACAGTTCTGGTGGTGACGAAATACCAACAAACATTGCGAGTTAAAAATATTTTACGTGACATTATTAATAATTCTCTAAAATTTGGAATTTTTCCTGGACAATTGAAAGTGTCAGAAATAAAATCGTTGCTAAAAAGGGTGATCCATTCATCATTGATAGTTATAGGCCCTTCAGTCTTCTGAATAGCTTTTCCAAATATTTGAATATGCTGCCTGTATACAAATAACTGCTTTTATGGATAAAAATAAATTGTTTAGCAACAGGCAGCATGGCTATATTCAAGGTAGATCTTCAATTACAGCTCTTCGCCAATTCACACAGAACATTTTAAACTACATGGAAGATAAACATTTAGCAATGGGGTTATTTCTTGACCTTTCTAAAGGGTATGACTGCTTAAATCATAGCATCCTATTTGACAAATCGGGTAGATATGGAATGAGGGCTAATACATCGTCCTGGGTAAAATCCTATCTTACAAACATGAAACAACGTGTAGCGATAAAAAAAGATATCATCAAGTTAATTTCATTCGTAATGAGATAAGTATACCACAGGGCCGTGTTTTAGGTCCCATATTATTTGTCATATACATCAATGATCTAAGAGATTATGACCTTACAATAATTAATTATGCTGATGATACCAGCATACTTATTAGCGACAGAAATACCACTGGACTGGGACATAATGGTTAGCAGGTGTTTGAATCAGTGAGGAAATGGTTTGCAATGAATAAACTTGTATTAATGACAAAACTGATTTAACAATATTTAGAACAAAGCAATCACAGATTGATATACCATAAAATATCACACTTTCAGATCATCAGTCATGGAATAGGAGTGCTATCTAGTTATATAAATTCAGAATCTTTAAAAATTGTATATTGTTCAAATTTTGAATCGATTCTACGTTATGGAATAATACTGTTTGGAGGCAGCATAGAACTACAAAAAAATTTGTTAGTAAAAAAAGGACCATAAGAGCATTGATACATATGAAATTTAATAAAACATGTAGGGGCGTATTTAAGTGTATGGGCTTGATGACTATATACACTTTACATTTTTGATTGTGTTATGTTCACAGTGAAAAATAGAAACAATTTTCCCTCGCAAAATGATCACACTTACGGTACAAGAGCTCTGAATGTTTTGCTACCTCTGCATAGGCACATAACTGAAATCAACTCCTTTTATATGTGCGCAAAGTTGTATAATAAACTACCTAATCATTTGAAAGCGATGGAAGGTACAGGAACCTTAAAAAACACCTGGTTTTAGTTCAGTTGGAACCATACAATATTTCTCAGTACATGAATGCTTCGTTTTAGTGTTTGATTGAGTATGACGTTAGTTCCACATCTATGTCATTTCTACAAATGTATTTGTGATTCTAGATTTGGAATAAATATTATTATCATTATTAGTTTCAAATAATGATACAATAAACAATACGTAACAGTACGTATAAATTACGACCTTCTTTTGACGCCAAAATGTATTGGTCCAATATATCGGAAGCGTTGCTAATTAGCTCATTTTTGTACACTGTATGTTGAAGACAATCTTGATAAGAGAAACACAATTGCACATCATCTTTACTACTCGTTCGCATAACTTTTGAGGGGTGGGATATCAAGAGTTAAAGTGGATATACTTTAGAGGTAGATATATCATTCAAGCAACAAGTAATTGACGAGAATTTCTATTTTTTTGTTGTTGAATTCTGCCTAAAAGTTTTTGTTGTAACAGATGGCTATACCGTCAGTAATTGTTATTTGCCTTTGAGACCAAATAACCTGTTTATACAGGGTGGCTTATCCATGCGAGTACGGAGGATTGCTCTTGCTTGCTTTTTGAAGAAAATCACTTGTGAGATACACATGTTTGGCGCACATGTCTAACGTACATATTATTGAAATTATACAGGGTGTCCCAATTTTGACCAACATATCAAAGTTGTAATTTTTTCAATGGAATGCCGCAAGTTTTATTGCATATTTGCCCTGTATGTTTAAGCATTTTCGGATTACATTTTTTGTAAGCTTTTTTTGACATAAGGAACATGAGGGTTATTATTGTGAATATTAGCCAATATTAGACTAAAAACGTGGTTAAAAAAGAACTCTCCAAGGAAGAAATGATGAATATGGTGTTCAATTTGGGTGGAGCGCACAGAAATGATTTCCTGACGTCTCGCATTATAAGCAACGGTACCCTAACTTCCGACATCCAAGACAGGATAAATATGGGATGTACTTTGACAGCTCCGCTAAATATATATATATATATATATATATATATATATATATATATATATATATATATATATATATTCGTTCAGAGTTAAGGATACATTTTGCCGGAAGCAACACATTTTTAACCCAGTCTTTCACATAGTTAAATGTTGCTCAACTGGCCACCGCATATGCAGATATATTACTTCCTGAACATTTGGTTTTCACTTCGAGTTTTTTCGATTTGTATGTCCAGTATCATTTAGCACAAAAAAACAATTGAGAAAGACGATCAATATACCAAAAATGTTTTATGTTGACGATGTTGACAGACAAATAACTATTCTTTTTGTGCGTGCAAGCCCACGTCCTTCACAGAGATGAGAGAAACATTATTGAGAAAACGTGCCATAGAGAACCATAGTAAAAAAGTTGTAAATAATCCAAAGTCACCAACGAGGTGAACCAGTTGGAGGTTACATTAAAATTTCGAGAAAATCCCCATTTAAGTACACGGAAATTGAAGCATGACTGACGTAACAGAAGTTATTTCCAAATAATTATTAACAAGGATAGATACCATCCATATCACCTATGCTTACATCAAAGCCTTCGCTCACATGATTTTGCATGTCGAATGGAGTTTAGCAATATAATCCTAAATAAAATGAGTGACAGTACAGCATAGGTGTCATAAACATATAACATGCACTATATGCAACGGAGAAACCCTAAATATTGTTTAGACAAATAAATATCCAGGACAAAATGAGATTAAATGTTTGGCGAGGTATTATTGGCAGGCAACTTATTGGGCCCATCTTTTTAGAGAATAGATTTTCAGGTACGGAATACTTGAATTTTTTGATGGAACATTTTCCGCAACTTTAGGAGGATGTCAACCTGCAAACTCGCTTGGAGACGTACTACTAACATGATGGCGCACCTCCACAGCATGATCTTCGGTTGCGTTACTATTTGGAAACCTGTCGTGTCAATCGTTGGATCGGTCGAGGTTGGTATATATCTTGGACTTCCTCATGTTAGATGAGCCTGGATCTGTAGAAGTAAATTCAGCTGAAGGCTTATTGAATGAAGGACGGCTGATCATAACTGATAATTTTTACACCAGTATTCCTTTAGCTAAATATTTGCTAGATCGTTCCACAGATCTTTGTGGGAGTCTACGGAAAAATCGAAAGGGAGTTCTAAAAGAAGTTGTTAAGACCAATTTAAAAAAGGGGACATAATCGCTTGACAACGAGACAACATCACAATTTTGAAGTGGCACGATAAGCGTGATGTTTGCATGTTGTCAACTTGCCATGGAAATGATATTGCAGATACAAGGAGAAAAACTAAGGCAGGGGCTGCTTTAACCAAATCGAAATCCATTTTAGATTACAACTCAGGAAAGCAGGAAATTGATGTATCGGATCAACTAAGTAGCTACTATTCACCAGTTCGTAAATTCGTGATTTGGTGCAAAAAGGTGGCAATTGAGTTAATATTTGGCACCGTTATAATTAATAGTTGGTTATTATACAACGAAATATCTACGAAAAAAAGGCTCTATTGCTTTTTACAGAAGAAGTAATTGAAGAACTTCTTGAAGTAGCTAAAACACCAACCCACATTGAGCCATCCACTTCTATTGACCACTTCATGTCAAAAATACCAAGAAACGACGACGGTAAAATTATAAGAAAAAGATGCCATGAATGCTACAGAAAAAACAACGCGAAAATGGAACCCAGTAGATACTTATTGTACCATATGTAGTAAGCCATTTTGCCTATCTTGTTTTTTTTTGCTGGAACGCACAAAAATAAAAACCAGAAGACTAACCATTTTTATGTTGTATTTTCAGAATTATGTTCCTTTGTTTTCTAAAACCTTTAATAAATTCGTTTTTAATAAATAAAAGTCTTTTTTGGAATCATTTTTACGAACATAAAAAATACGTTTTCGAATCATATATGATCCTGGAAAAAAAAGTTCAATATCTTCTTAACCTCTTAAGGTCCACATTTAAATAATGCTTGAGAAAAAAAGATTTTCTTCAAAAAAGATATTAGAATAGGTATAAAAAACACATTTTATTGGAAAAATACTTTATTTTTTCTTTAGCAAAAAAAACAAGTCAACGTTCCGGTTTTGGAACAAAGGTCAATCATCTTGAATATGAAATTCACCAAAACAGTTCCTTTTCTTATTTATACATAAGTATGCATTACATTTGATGCAGGAAAAAATGTTTTCAGTCCGACAAAACCTGGCTTTTTGCGCCTCTGACTTTGTTCTTTTTCACAAGGGAAGTGACCTATTTGGTCAGTTCGCACGTCAAACTGCGGTATGGGCTTTGTTTGGCTCCTTTTCTTTTTTTCTTCAAAATTTCTTTCAATACTTCTACTTGGTCTTCCTCGTTTTCGTGTATTTTCACTCGTCCTCAAAAGGCATAATCCCTCAGCAACTTCAGCGCGAAAATCAAGCGAATCTAATATATCTTTTTTCTCCAACCCTGCTATCTGCATATCAGCTTTGTAGCGAATCCAGGCAGTAAGTATAACAAGTCAATGAAGTGAAAAAATATTTTCAAGTACCATTTTCGACTTCTTAGTGTTATCCTATAATAGGATATAAGCCCATCTAGCAAGCAAATCTACACCACCCATAAAAAGATTATATTCTCTTACCGGTAAAAAGTGCTCGCCAGACAGACACTTTTATTATCAAACCATTTAAGCGCAAATATTTTTACATCTTCTATGGTAGCTTCTTACTCCTCGTAAGTGCCTCGGCCTTTTTTTTCCATAATATTATCGCTTGAAAACGTAAGGCCATGAATTCTATCTTGCCTTACAGTTCCCAAACTGTAGATTCCATCTTTGTATACTGTAGTTAGAAGCTTCAGAGAAGTAAACCAATTATCAAAAAACAAAAAATGATTTTTGTGCTTGGGAATAACTGCTGCTAGTCGTAGGACTATGTTTCCACTTGCCCCTATGTCGTCTTTCCCAGGTACTGGTAGTATTTTTCCGGTGTAAACCTCAAAATTGTGGATAAGGCCATCTTTGTCGCATGCAATAAAAATTTTATTTATTGGGTTTTTGGGATTATATTATATTGCTTTAGGGAAGAGCGTCCTTTGAATGGAACTGTTTGTTCATCCACGCAGAGTTTTTCAGGTTTTACTTGATTTGCGAAGTTTTGCTGTAAATTATCCAGGAAGGGTCTAAGTTTGAACAGCTTGTCTCTATTGACATCATTTCGATCTTTTGGTAGGTTCTCATTATTATTGAAATGAAGGTTTTTCTTTATTTGTTCCCACCGCTTTCTGGACATGGAGTCGGCTGCCTGTGAAACTCTGGTGGCAGAACTCCAATAAAGTCTATGTCTCGGTAAACCAGGAATCGACATATAAACAACAGTTCCTAAGAAGACTTCTAATTCAGATCGAGCAAGGTTGAGTGGTCTATTCGGGTCAACTTGGCAAGCGTATAAATTAGTTTGTTCTACAATTTGATCTAATAGCTCATCTGAGAAAAATAACTGAAAATAATGTATGGGTCTTCCTATTTCAGGCTCGTCGTCTAGGTTTTGTGACGTATATGGCGCCAAAGAAACACTAACTTTATTCCACTGATATTTTGGTGTCCCCTTTGCAAAAAAATTGCTCAGTGGTTGGTCATCTTCTGAATCGTCTTCACTGTCACTACTTGTGGAGTTATCTGAGCCTGGCTTGGACGGCACATAATCATCGTCAGAATCGCTCAGATTCTCATCTTCATTATCGCTTGGTAAAGACGCCATAGTTTACTGAAACAAAATAATAAAGCACTGTGAAGGACTAACTGGCCCAGTGTTCCATATTTATATACTAAATGACCATTGTTCCTGATCTGGAACTATGAAAATATTTACGTTATCGGCTCTTCTAATAAGAGTTTTTGTGTTCAATTTATTTTAAAACTATACTACAATAATCTACTGACTCACCTGTATTTATTTTACGCTATAAAATAATCAAAAAACACAAGAAAATCCTTTCAGAAAACGATGCACCTAACCAACAACAACAAATGGTGACATTCTGCCAATATCTCGGCGTCGGGTTCATAGATGGCGTAAGACGTCACCTTTATTACACAATATTCATTGGTACACATAAGGAACAGTGGACTATTGGTGAAAGTTGAATCATTTTGACTAAGATTTTTTCATTTTGAATTTTTGAAATCAGTGTTCCAGTTTAGGCACATGAGCCGTTAAGAGGTTAATACGTCCATGCCATAATCAGATGCTTAAATATCACGTCCAATTTTTAACATCGTAAGACAAAGCAAGTACAAAGCATCACATATGATTCAAGGGCGTGTAGACAAACATGTCTAACGAATCACATATGATTCATGAACAGTTACCGTGTTAAGTAGTGATAGTATTTGTTAATATTGTTTGTTCTTTATTACATTTCAAGTTTTAAGTCCAGTAATCTCAATTGGTGACAATAGATGTTGTTGAATTTATTTATACTGTTCTGATTATAATTGGTTTTTACGTTAAATAGGTCACCTTAGTAGCAATATGCCTGTCTTTTGTTTCCATGAATGATGTAATTTTTTCCTTAATTTTGATGTTTCATTGAAAGCTTACTAACACAATAGCTCGTGTTTTATTATTAACATCTTGGAAGTTAATAGAAGCTGCTCTTAAATACTTCACACATTGTTGGTAACACAGGAAACGAAATAATTTTCGTTACAATAAATATCTCAATAATGTCAACGTCAAACGTCACTGTCAGCCTACGGAGCACGTGTTGAACATGTGGAAGTTCCACCAAGATGTAGTGTAGAAAAGTTTTAATGATTAATTAATTCTTAATTCCGTTTGTATATTTTTTTTTAAATATGTAGCAATGGTTTTTTAATAATTCAATCGCACAGTACCATCTATCACCAGATTCGATGACAATTACGACAATAACTCACCTGGATAGCATACTCTTTAGGCCACTTGACAGCGTTGTTGAACAATTGAGCCACGGTGGTTTCGCTAAAGTCCAATGCTCCACTGGCTTGTTTATCCCTTAGGACGAACGTGTCTACCTGGGAGAGCCGTGAAAGCGGCTGGATCACCTCTAAGTCTGGAAACATCGCCTTCAGCTCGGCGGCCTGCTTTGAACACAGGTCTGTTTCAGGGTCTGTAGATGGCGTTTTCGGTGGCGGGGATTTCGACTTCTCCACCTTCGTCTGTTGTCATGAAACAAAAATTTCAAGAATTAAGTAGACTCGATATCTTTTAGATATCTTCAGATATGTGCTAAAATACGAAGCATTCCATTCACAAAAGCATCACAATGTCCGCCCTTTTATAACAGTAAATTTGTACTCTGTAAAAGTACTCATACGGGGCCTCACACGACCGCCATTCCAGTTGAAAAAATCTTGCCACATGATTAATTATGAAAATATTCATATTTATATTATATCTACAAAAACTCAAAAAAGTCAGTTTCGTAGTTGTTGTATTTTACGCCATAACTAGTAAATTCGTAAATGACTGTCTATTTTACAACAAACAGAGCAAGCCATGAGCAAATAGCCAAACAGAGAGCAGAAGGCCGTGGACGCGTATGTGCAGTGTCGCCAAATTGGAATAAAAATATTTAGAATATGCTATATTTATGATAAGCTGGATTATTTTTTCCGAAATACGTTGCACACTATTACAAACAGTATTTGACTTGGCACACATTTTAACGATCTCGTTTGTTAAAATATTAATTTCCAAACACGAAGCTTGAAAAATATTTTTGACAGACTGCAAATGGATGTAAAATATCTATACCATAATTAAATTTAGGTCTTAAGTTTATTTGAACAAAAAAAAACGCTGTATACATCTCTCGCCAATAACAAGTGTTTAATAAGTCATTTTGTGTATTCTCTCTTGTAGTGTTGGGCGGTCCAGATCCATTAAATGTTTCAGTTCTCCTAGATGCGTTCCTTTGTCGGAACAGTTCCGACAGATTCGTTAATTTCGTTCCAATCGAGTCACAATCCACACGATGTCTCGACTGAGTCCGGACCAATATGAACCGGTACGCACTGTTGCCAGATACCCATTTTCCTATGCCGTATTAAGAGCCTATCGTTTTACGAAATCTCGGTTGGTTGCTGGTGTCCCATTTCTTATTTAGAGTGTTGATGCTGATGATGAAAAGGTTTTCAACATCAACTCTTGTGTTTCATAATACCGATGATTGATAGTTTACAAAATAGCATGTATATACAGTAACTAAACGATGATGACTTTATTGTTTATATAAATCGTAAGATAGCGACATGTTTATTTTATACACTACTTTTATTTCTTCTGCCACCGTTGCGAAACTCAAAGTATCCAGGAACATGCCGAATCGCATGATTCGCACATCTGATGGAATTAACTAAGAGATCGGATTCAGTCCGATCGGATCCACCACAGGATTTGTTCAATAGGAACGGGTCGGACCGGCACGTGTATTACGTATCTTGAAAAGTGACATTATGTAGTTTTTTTACATAACGTAGGTTTTTCTATATACAATGTTAACTTAGCAGTAGCTGATGGACACTTGTGAACTCGTTTTGTAGTTGTACGTTGTGCCTAAACGTCATGATGCTACAGTTATCAATGTTTGGCTCTGGTGTGATGAAACATCTGCTTGAGAGATGGCATTATTGGAGGATTAAGCTATAAATTGTATACTATAGCTGGAAGGAAACGGCATTGCATAGGTGCATAGTGAGGATTTGTGTGCTAATAGCATGTGCTGATAATTCTATTTTTTTCTTGTCTCAAATACACGTACTTGAGATTCAAAGCTAGAAATTAGTTGCGCATCCACTTTTTGTTATTCATTTTGTAAATTGAATATGCAAATTTGCTGGATTTCAAAAATGAGAGAGATAAGAAAATCCCTGATTGGTGAAATGAAACGGTTATTACATTATTTTTTATTTGCAGTCATTTAAGTTTTATAGAAATTTATTTTGCGATGTCAATAGAAAATACAAATTAGTGCCTAGAAAATGCGAAAATGTTTGAAGTGTAATGCATCATTTCTATTTTTTTTTGTGATGTGGCTTAATTGCACATAACGCGGGCGCGGTGGCGATTACCTGTAATGCTCTTCGAAGTTTTTGAAAACGCAAAAAAAAGAGGGAAAAATCGTAATTTAAAACTTTGAACATAACCTGTCTTCAGAAAGGACAACATATAATCAACCCGTCGGGCACAGCTTATACATATAAATCATTGGCAGCAGCATGTTCAGTAATAATTTTCTCAAATAGCAAATATCACTGATTTTATACACATGCAGACCAATACACATAACCATCCAGATGGGATCTTGCTACTCAACTAACTTTCTTTCACATCTCAGAGATAAACACTATAGACAACTTGGCTTCACAAAACATGTACTTGTCTTCTGCAACTAACAACGCGTGTAGTTGAGTCATTCCGCCATAGATGGATGCGCACAGCGATCATAGCGAGAAAACGTGGAATGAACTGTTTGCAACATGACATTTTGTCGTTTTTTGAATTTTTGAATAGGATTTTTACACAGAAGCCGTACGGAACGACACAACTCTACTCCCTTGATATATCTTTGTCATAACTACCTTGCATAGATCTTCAACTTCAGACTTCTTCGATTCAGTGTCAGACTCGAATTTCTCTGATTCGGATTTGGTGTCTGACTCTTTTTTCATTGATTCTTTGTCTTCGTCGCCCTCCTTTACAGGTTCTTTATCTTCCTCATCTTTTTGTTCAGAGATACCGACTGTTTCGTCTAGCTGCTCTTTGGCTGAAAAAAAAGAATCTTAAATAGTCATTCAAGTGGAACTCCGAAAACAGGAAAACCAAGGTTTTAGAACATAACAATGAAAATGTCATACGAAAGCACATTAGGAGAGTTAAATAACCATAGTACATGGTTGGAACATCAATAGTCGAGACATAAAATGCGAGTTCAACAATGGCTTTTTCAAGCGAGGTACGAATATATTGTTGTCACTACTAACACTTAATAATATATTTGGATTGATCTGTTCATGTTGATTAGCGTTATATTTATCCTAAGCAAAATGTAAATTAACGGTCATGACGTTTCCTACTCATCTCACAAATATTCTAAAATATATAGTTACCAGCTGTCAAGCTCAAATTGATGAATGGAATTATTATCTGATTTTGGAAGTTTGAGTAATGTGTTAACGTTGGTGAGGCGTGTGTTCATTTTGCTAGCAATGAATTAATTTTTTAAGTTTTACCATAATTGTAGAGGTATTCAAGAAAGACGGTTACATAACAAGTGATACCTAATATTAGTCAGCTAACTCGTACGTATTGAGATATTTCAAAACGTTTAGTTGTCAAACTAAAATAGTGAAGTTAGCAGTGTAGAATTTTAAATAACATTCATCATTTACTTATGTTTTTTTATTATTTACCTAAGCAGAGAAAATATGCTTTTCAGTAAGACATTGCCGTCAATAATGGCGTATTAAAAAAATATTCACAATAGAACTATGCAGGACAAAACATTACGCAAAATAACTATCGCCCCATGCTATGGTCTTAAATGAGACTCTCATTTCAAGCTAAGCTTTTGCTACAGCTAGTACAAAATTATTATTTTTTTTATCAATTTAGCTTTCCAGTAACCTAGTCAAAAATCCATGCCAAAAGTGATGAATGCTAGCATCCAAACCAACCAAGTGCGACGCTATTGAATTCTTAAAAATCATCAGTCCAGTATAGCTAGGAGACGAACGAAATTAGAGCTACTAGCCTCTATCAGAAATATGAAGAAGATAGAAAGGGCCAGTTCTAGTAGCAGGGTCACATGTGCACTATCTAACATTGCCTTAGCCGAAGCATTTCCTCCTGTTTGCTCTCCCCTTCCTACGTTCCTCCTTTTTGACTGACTTTTGTGTCAGGGCAACCAAACCTACTGATGTGCAAAACTTAAGTTCTTACGACTAGAAGATTTTTTACGCATATCTACTAGAATACTAATTTCCAAGGATAAAGCAAAAAATCATTTTGATATACGGGTTTAGTCAATTATCTCATAAACTTACGTGAAAAATTGGTAAAATCTTTGTATAGAATTAAATTCTGCATCATTATGATTCTATGTAATTTTAACGAACGGTCAAGAATACAAATATTGCTTTATCACTTTTTTACGTAAGATAGTTAACGAAATAATTAACAAAACCGTTAATTTGGATTTATTATTACAAATCAGTATTCTAACGATATCAAAAAAATCATTCGCCTCACTTATTGCAAAATTTTGTATTCCGAATCGCCCTTGACTGTGCATGAATGTTACATAAATGTTGTAATGTTTACTTACTTTCGCATTTGTCACCCTTCACTAAGGTGAGATTCACTTTATCTTCGTCCCCGGATTTCTTCTCTTCCAGAGTTTCTTTTTTCACAGCAACCTTTTCTATCTTTAAAGTCCCCTCGCCTTTCTCTAGTTTTACAAGGATTTCATCTTTGTCAAATTTGAGAATGTCCTCGTGACTTTCCAATTTTATAGCCTCCTTGCTGTCCAGAGAATTAGAACGAACTTTTTTCCTAAGTACTTCGTGGAATGACAGATCTGGGTCGTTCAAGAGATAATAATCCGTTCGGCCCAAGCCATGTCTGTAATAGTAAAAAATTCAGGTGCGATCCAGCTTATCATTCAAAGACATAAAGATATTAAAACTATCTATCTTTGAGGCAACAAGAACATTGAAAAATAACAAAATCTTTGAATGCTACCTAAACCCTTACCAACTGAGATACAGGGCGAAAAAAATCTACCCAGCAAGAAAATGCAAGGCACAGAAATGCGGACAGGAAATAGCGATATTTTTAAACGTTGTGCATGCATGCTCTTAGGCTGAAATCTGGAATATATTCATTGAAAATATTACTTAATACTAGGTATATGCTATTGAAAGTCTTGAAACAGCTTTCAAGCTGCTCCGTGTGAAAAAGTTGTGAGGTAAACTGCTCCTCAATTGTTTATGCGTATAGAAAAGCTGTCAATGTCATTATCAATTTAGGAGAAGGATCTGACAGCGCGGACGGTTTCTCAGACGATACCGACACACCAACCGGTTTCTGGGGCACCACTCAACGGTCCTCCTCTTGTATTCTTTGTCGGAGTCGATAATACTACCACAACTTAGATAATAATCAGCTATGAAACTCTCCTGTCAGTGTCAAAAACGGCCGCCATTCCAATGGAGAAAGTTCGAATGTGAATTCCCCTAGAACAACCATGAAAGAGGTTTTAGTGTTCAGCAGCAACCGGTGTTGCCACGTATCATGCCACCGGCCACATATATTCTTTGCAATCGTAAAATGATAATATTTCGATATGACCTAGTGTCGTTTGTGTAAATCATTAATAAAAAAGAGTATGTTTGTCCAAAAAGAAGCGATGCATGACTATTTATTTATGAAACAGCTTCAAAATACATTTGCAATGGTGGAAGATTTACAATACACGGAAAAAATATTTTCTTTTGCTATGTACTATTCGATGCTGCGATATAATCAATCCATTAAATTTTACAAATACAACATTCACTCAATCACAAGAATTTAGGTGTCTTTGACCCGGAAAAGACGACAGCACAAAAACATTTAAATGAGAGATTTAAGAAAAATTGTTCATCAGTAAAACTCTACCATTTTGCACGAATATTTTTTCATTCTTCGCACATTCTAAACAAATTCATTTAAAAAATGTATGTGTTGTCATGTAATTATGGATCACCTTGTGGAGAGCGGCATATTTTCATATAGCTGCCTACAATTTTTATAACTAACTTCTATAGATACTTGAAATATCGGAACTATCGACCGCTTGCACATTAAAAACCTGCCATGTATGTGGAAGCATTCTAGCTGAGGAGTATCAAGTTTGATTTGATTGCTTTTTTTAATAGTGTTTACATTAAAAATGGAATGGATTGAGAACATCGCAGTATCAAAGAATGCAAGGCAAAAGTAAATATTTTTCTATTTATTGTAAATTCTTCCACCAATACGAATTTATCTATGGCTTCTTTTTGGACGAACTTATTCCTTTTTATTATTGGTTCACATAACATACACCAGATCATATCGGAATAGTATATTTTTTTTAATTGCAAATAATATCGGCGGCCGCTGGCAGGGTAAGTGGCAACACCGGCTGCTGCTGAGCACTGGAACCTCTTTGATCGTTGTAATGGGGGAATCTACATTCGAATTGCTCCGCCGAAATAGCCGCCAATTTTTGACAGTGACAGGTGAGTTTTATAGCTGATTGTTATATAATATCATCTACTCAGGAAAGTACCTTTTCTGTTACGATTTTCTTATAACACAGCTTCTTTCGAAGGTGATGTTTCATACAAAGCTTTGTGCAGTAACTTAACAGCAAAAATACATAATTTCACGATTAAACTTACTTGGCAACTCCCAAGAGTAGATCCTTATCATGCTTTCCAGGTATCCACCAGTCTGGCATATCTGCAGACACCAAGCATACTCTTAACCTCTCGTCGAGTTTTGGATGGGTCAATACTTCCTCTCTGATTCTAGACAAAAGTTCTAATCTCTCTAACGTCCTTCTGGCCTTTTCTTCAACAATATGCTCGATCGTGTTGTCGTAGCTGCTCTCGTCTACATTCATCCCCGTCTGCTTTTTGCACATAATGACGAAGTTCTTGTAGTACTCCGTCAGTTCTTCATCTGACTTCTTCTCCAGCTTTGCCAACTGTTTGAACCTCGTCCAATCGTAGGCTTTTTTCTTGCGGTAGTAGATAACACCGTATGAAGATACCACTCTGAAGAAATCCGCTTCTTCGCGCTTCGTCCAACGTTTGTTGATGGTCAGTTTTTCTCTCTCTTTTGAAGATTGCTGTTCCAATGCCTGTTTGCCCTGGCGTTCCATCTGAAACATGGATGGGCATTGTGTTTTTGTATACAACACTGATCCAGATGCCATATGACTCACTTGATTATGAGATTACATCTTTCCACTAACAGTACACTGCATATCCAGTTGAAGGGAGTCATTATTGGGCGAGCACTTTTAAAACCTGATGTGCATAGCACCAAAGGATATAATGTTCGGGATCTATAATGACTTTCTCAAAGTAGACACACATTTTTGCGAGGTAATCACGTAACACAGTTTAGGCAGACCTGTTACTATGTCACCTGTTACCTATTTCTAGGTAGTTGGATATATTAGTCTCTGGTTATCTAATAAAAAAGTGAAGCAACCTCGAAAACAACAAATTGACGACCGAGTTGCTAAATGAACAAACATGTTGTTGATTGAATTGTCCAAGAGCAAAAATGAAAATTGAAAACATTAACCACAAAGGAATTACGACGACATACAACGTCTGTCGCAAAGTAAACAGGGTATTTGAAAGATATCCGATACAAGTAGCGCTATCTGTTATCGGAAACTAGCGTTGGAATGGGTACAAATTTCATTGATCCCTGTCATAATTTCATGACAATCGTACCACTTCAGGCAGAGTTATCGCGCTCAAAGTGACAGTACCTTTTTAGCATCGATCGAAAAATGAGCATGGAACAAAGAGCCAATATTAATTATAAGTCCAGTGTTAAACTTGGTAAAACATCTACAGAAACGCATCAGATGTTGATACAAGTGTACGGTGATGATTGTTTACGCGGTTCAAAGAGGGTCGTAAGTCACTGGAAGACGACGAACATGTCGGCCAGCAAAAATTTGTGATTACGCCAGAACCTGTCGAAAAAGTGCGTGAATTTATGAAAAATGCTCCACAATCTTCATTGAGATACATATAAATGGAACTAAATATCTCTAAAGATTCAATCCATCGCATTTTGACAAAGAATTTGGTGAGAAAGGTGTGTTCACGGTTTGTTCCGCACAAGCTCACGGATGACCAAAAATTGCTTCGAATTCAACATTCGAGAGAAGTCATTAAAGAAGCCTAAAAAGACAAAAACTTTCTGTACAAAAATGTGACGGGTGACAAAACATGGTATTTTCAATATGATACCGAAACCAAGCGTCAAAGTGCCGAATGGAAGCTTCCAACCGAGGAAAATCCGAAAAGAAGCCGTCTGGAAAAGGCCAAACTGCAAACAATGTTGATTCACTTTGATTCGAAGGGAATTACTCACAAAGAATTCGTTCCACCGGGCCAAACGGTCAATGCTGTGCTCTTGGTGTTATGAGGCGTTTGCTGTCGCATATTCGCCGTGTTCGGCCAGAATATCGCGAAGAAGGAAGCTGGCGCTTGTTGCACGATAATGCGCCATCTCATCGATCGACGCTTGTGTTCGATTTATTTGACAAAAAATGGCATTTTAACCATCAACCACTCCCCACATTCTCGTGATATGGGACCATGTTGCTATTTTCTGTTCGGTAGAGGCCATCTAAAAGGAGCCGACGACCAGTTTAAAGGACATCCTGGTCAATGAGCTAAAATCGTCATGCGAAAACCTTTTGGTCCGTGCAAATCGCTGTATTAACTCTGGATGAGACTATTTTGAATAAAATTAATTCGATTTTCCCAAACAAAATGTTTGTTCATTTTTTTCTTTGCCCTGTTTACTTTGCGACAGACGTTGCATGTAATTTGCGTGTGTTAAAAGTGACACGTCGCTTCGTGTCGCTATAGTTTAATTATGCGTAACGGAACCCAGCGGAAAATCTTGCTTATCTTCTGTTCCCTTTCCCTCAATGAGCCTACACCTTAGTGAAATCAGTTCGTGCCTATCGTTGAACAAACATGAAAGGTGCTTCGCCACTACCCTTGAACAGTAGTTCACCGCTAAGCCGATATTATCAGTTCTCTTCCATAAATCAAACAAAAATTTGTTCTTTTTGAAAGCGCGAAATGGCGCCAATCCGATCACAAATCCACCGTCCTAATGGCGATAGCTTCTGCGTCGACAATCTTGAATCATACTATGAAGTAATAAAAATGATCTACACAGGTACGCTATGATTATCTCGCAAAAATTCGTGTGTAGGAATTTTTTATCACTACTGAGGCTATACAGGGTGTCGAAATAGTGTGTCAGAGCTCAATATCTTCGTTACTATTAGAGTTGCAGAAAAAAAGTTATGTACAAATGTTGTAGACAGAGCTAAGAGCAACAACCTAAAATTATTTTTAGCTATACCATAAATTAGTGGCAATATAAACTTCATTTTTAGAAGCGCCTTTTCTTCGCCATTCTGTCAACGTATGGTTTTGGGGGTTTATACTGGGTATTTCGGAAAATATGGCCACTTTTTCGTTAAAATCATTGTACATTTGACTTCTCGTATCTTAAAGAATACTTCAGATAAAATCTGTTTTATTATACTAAGTGATGGAAACAGTGGCAGACATTCATATTCAATATTTTTTCTGTACATATTTCATTCGAGACATACAGGGTGAGTCAAAACCGGAAGATGTAATTTTCTCGAAAAATTTAAATCAAACACCCTGTATGTTATAACTCTAAAAAACGCGTCTCGGATTGCTCTTCCAGTTTTATTAAGCATTGCCTATAGCCAAACCTACTATTTTCTGAGATATTCCATGTTTTTTTAAGAGTGAAAATCATAATTTTGGAATTATTAGGAAAATATCCGTCAGACATACTATTAATAAAACAAAAAAATCTATTGATTAAAATATGTCGCTGAGTGATTGAAAAAATGTAATTAAGCACTTACAACGGCTACTATAACAAAAAATACTATACTTATCTCTGCTAAAGAAGCTTAACAATTAAAAATAACTCTGTAACAATTATGATAATGATAACTAACTAAATCTATTTATCTACTTGATTAATTGTTCAAAGTGCCCACCACCAGCATCAATACAGACCTGAAACCTACGTTTAAATGATTCGGCAACATTTCTTAAAATTTGGTGGTTAATGCTCTGAAAAACTTATCCTGTTTTGCATATTAACTCCTGTCGTAGGTGAAATCTTATAAACCTCTTCTATAACGCAATCCCAGAAAAAATAATCCATTTTCAATAAGTCGGGAGACCTGGGTGGCCATCTGACTGGACCTGTTCGTCCTATCCACCTAGGAGGGAATTCAGTATTTACATGATTATTTATTGTGTGTGATGTGCAGGAGCTCCATCATAAGAATCCACATTATCTCCCTCACACGTTCTGGTATATGTGGTAAAATGTTTTCCATTGAAAAAATGTGGCCTTATTACAAAATTGCCAATTATGCCACCCTAGACGTTTAGAGACCATCTTTCCTGGCTGTGCGATAACATTGCAGGGCTGCATAATAGTGGAAACTGTGCCTGTTGACATCCATTTTTATGGAAAATTGATTCGTCGGCGAACAGCACATTTTCAAAAAAGTCTTGGCAAGGGTTTTTTTCTTGTACCCAGCTACAGAATGTCAGCCTAAATCCGTAATCGTATTCGCTTAGCTCTTGGTGCAATTGTATATATGGTAAGGGTGCATTTTGTTTTTTGAAGTATACTGTGCACGGATGATTTGTTAATGTCCAAGTCTTGTGAAATACGCCGAACATTTGCATGGGGATCTTCACCCTCTCTATATTCCGATATGGCACACTTCCTGTACGCTCGAAACGCTCCATGAGCTGAGTTTTCCTACACGGTTGTCTTTTGTCTGGGTGACGTTGATTATACAATCTTATTGCCAATAAAGAATTTTTGTCACTTGCCCCTAGTGCAAGAATCATATCAACCATTTCTTGTGTTAACAAATTCATTTTATTTCTAAGCGAAACTAATACAAGCAGAACTTTGCTACTGAAGTTTACGATGACAGGTTTGTCAAAAAAGCATGGCCAACCTATATTTACCTAATAGTTACAATATTATTATGGTTTTCACTTAGAAAACACGGAATATTTAAAAAAATACTAGGTTTACGTATAGGAAGTGCTTAATCAAATTTATATTTTTCGAGAAAATTAGATCTTTGCGTTTTAACTCAGCCTGTATGCTTTGGAGGAAATATGTACGTAAAAAACATTTAATATGAATGTCTACCACTGTTTCCATCACTCAGTATAACAAAACAGATTTTATCTAAAGTGCGTTCAAGATACAGGAAGTCAAATGTACAATGATTTTCAACGAAACAGTAGCAGTACAGACAATATCAGTACAAACCCCCGAAACCATACATTGGTAGAATGGCCAAGATGAGGCGCTTCTAAAAATCAATAGAAATATAAGTTTATATTGCCACTAATTTATGGGATATCCTGTATAGCTAAAAATAGGTTTAGATTGTAGCCCTTAGCTCTGCCTACAACTTTTATATTCAACTTTTTTCTGCATCTCTAATAGTAACGAAGATATTGAGCATTGACATACTATTTATATATGTATATCACGAAATATTCGATTTTACATCACGTTGTTTGATTGCGTTTCCTTTTGTTAACACTAACGGAGGAAAGACATGAGGAGCTTTCGGCAAAACTATACTTTAGCGCATATTGCAAATAATTCATTTTTTATTGTAAAATGAAATATTAGGATGTAACTTGTACGAAAATATCACTTCAAAGTTGGATTTTGGGTGGTAATACTGTGGTATAGAATACTGCTTTATAAGCTGATTTTTTCTTCTTTTCAAAAAAGGTTGCTCAAAATTATACGTATATGAATAAAACATACACTGAATATTACTGTGACACTGTTCATCGCAATAATGCAATTTTGCATTATTTTAATGATGAAAATAGATCATTGTTAAGTAGTCATTTCTTTTGTTTCAGATAAATGTTCCTATCACTACACCACTATCATAATTTCTCCATCGCGATGTTGTCAAATCCTGGATAATAATTTACTTTGATTTGGTTGTCAAATTGTTACTTATATGCTAGCTCAAAAATGTGCAATCGGCACAGGATTGTCATGAAAATACGATTTGGAGGTGGGTTTTCCTGTACTAAATCTA